CAAACATATTTGTAAATAGATTAGAATAGTTTTAAACTATAGTGAATAGTAAAAGTAAAGTACACAGTCTAAGATTGAAAAGTGAAAAAAGTGAAGTGTAAACAATCAGCATTAGAATAAAAGTATAGAGTAATAAAAGTGAAATTAGCTTCAATTTGAGACTCAGCTCGTTTTTGTCTGTGTTTTGACTGAATTTGCTGAGTTCTTGTGTGTCCAATAGTGTTTGTTTGTTTTTATTTTTGATTTGTTTTTGTTTGTTTTTTGTTTGTTTATTTACTTTATTTTTATTTGTTTTGTTTTTTCCCAGGATAGAGGATAAAATCCACTGATATTGATTTGATGATTATGAGTTTAATGCATAAATTTTCTTTGTTTTTAATAATTTTTTGAAGTTTTTTTTTGGAATTTTTTTTTTCTTTTTCCATTTTATTGATTGATCGATTTGAGTGATCACATGTGATTATGTGATCAAAGGGGAGGGTATTAGTATTAGATAGCAATATGGCCTACGTGCAGGACTGTACAAGGACTCTACAAGGACTCCATGTTATGACTATGATGTGACTGTCTCTTTGTGACACGTATGTCTTTCGATGTGTGACGTGACAATGACTATATAAACTGTGTACTGCCTTTATTCTGTCTGGGAGAAAGAAACAGAGTAAACCAGTGGAACTTGAGAGAAACTTAAATAAACTTCCAGAGTTTGGCACACCACGATCCGTCTCTCTCTGCTAAATTCTTGTTCCGTGTAAGAATCAGCCGACCACAACCGCTGATACTGAAACTTTGAAACTTGCTATGCTAAATGTCAGATCTCTTTCTAACAAGTCTTTTTTAATCAATAATTTTATTTGTTCTTATAATCTTGATCTTATGTTCATGGCTGAAACATGGCTTGACCAAAATACAGAAAATGCAGTTTTAATAGAAGCATCACCACCAAATTTCAAATTTGAATCTGAAATACGGGAAAACAAAAAAGGAGGAGGCTTAGCTGCCATTTTGAGAGACCACTTTGTCTCCCATAGAATGTCTCTTGGGAAGTTTCCGTCTTTTGAATATGTGTCTTTTAAAATACAACAAAAACAATCTCCTCCAATACTCTTCATAGTCCTATACAAGCCACCGCAGTCATGTCACAGTTTTATTGATAATTTTACCGAGTTGCTTTCAGTTGTATGCACAGATTTTGATAGTTTAGTTATTACAGGTGATTTTAATATTCATGTGGATAATGTTGATGACAGAAATGCAAAAGAGCTGAGTTCTTTACTTGATACCTTTGGTCTCACTCAGCATGTGAGTGGCCCCACCCACAGCAGAGTGTGCCCACACTCTAGACCTGTTAGTTACAAAGGGGGTGAATATTTCAAATATAAGCGTGGTCGATGTTGCTCTTTCGGATCATTTCTGTGTATTTTTTGACATGTGTTTCACTAACAAACCACCAGTGGACTCTGCAACTGTTCGAAGAAGACACATAAATGAAAATACAAGTGAACTATTTATGGGAATGATAAACTTTGAAAATGCATCGTATTCTACTGTAGATGAACTGTTTAACTCTGTCACCTCTAGTGTTTTGAATGTTCTGGATACCGTTGCCCCTGTGAAGGTTAAAATAGTGAAAAATAAGCAGAAGGCGCCGTGGGCTAAAGCAGACTCGGTCAGGGCACAAAAGAGAAAGTGCCGGAGGGCCGAGCGGAAGTGGCGCAAGTCCAACCTCCAGGTTGATTACAAGATCTTCAAAGATAAGTTGTGCGAGTTTAACCGGGTGCTACGTAGTACGAGAGAAAGGTATTTTTCTGAAATGATTGAAGGCTGCAGTAACAATCTGCGTGTTCTGTTTTCAACAGTTAATAGATTAACAAACCCCCCTGTTCAGATGCCATTAGAGCTAACTTCCAAACGTAAATGCAATGAGTTTGCACACTTTTTCAATGACAAGGTTCAAGGCATCAAAAACGCCATTGTCTCCAATCCACAGATAACAATCCAACAGCCAGAAAAGGCTCTCTGAGCTAACTTACTTTGCACCTGTAGATGATAAAAATGTCCAAGAAATAATCTCCAGTTTGAGCTCCTCCACATGCAGCCTGGATGTACTACCCACTAGATTTCTGAAGTCTGTTCTGAGCAGTCTGTTACCTTCACTCACACAGATAGTAAACATGTCCCTTCATTCTGGAATATTCCCAAAGGCCCTGAAAACTGCAGTCATCAGGCCCCTGCTAAAAAAGAGCAGCCTGGATGCTACGGTACTTAACAACTATCGTCCCATCTCAAATCTGCCATTTATGGGGAAAGTCCTTGAAAAAGTTGTCTACCTACAGCTTACTAGATTTATTATAATTAACAACTCATTTGATATGTTTCAGTCCGGCTTTAGACCCCACCACAGCACTGAGACTGCTCTTGTCAAGGTTACAAACGATATCCGGCTGAACACTGACGCAGGCAAAGTCTCAATCTTAATCTTGTTAGATCTGAGTGCTGCCTTTGACACCGTCGACCATGAGATCCTCTTACAGAGATTAGAGGACTGGGTTGGAGTCGCTGGCACCGCCCTAAGTTGGTTTAGGTCTTACCTTGAAGACAGGAAGTACTTTGTGGAGATTGGAGACTGTGTCTCAGATCATATGGCCCTGACCTGTGGAGTACCACAGGGGTCGATCCTGGGACCTCTTCTGTTCAATCTCTACATGCTGCCGTTAGGTCAGTTAATACGCAGAAACAAAGTGTCCTATCACAACTATGCAGACGACACTCAGATCTATGTCTCACTGACTGCAGGAGAACATGGACCAGTGGACTCACTCCTTCACTGTATCCAACAGATCAGTGAGTGGATGCAAAACAACTTCCTTCAGCTAAACGCAGACAAAACTGAAATGATTGTCTTTGGTCCCCAGAAACAAAGAGAGAGCGTCATCTGTCACCTACAGTCTCTCTCCCTAAAACCTTCAAACAAGGTCAGAAATCTAGGGGTAATACTGGACTCAGACTTAAATTTTAATAGCCACATCAAATCAGTAACATCAGCAGCTTTTTACCATCTAAAAAACATTGCCAGGATCAAAAACATAGTGTCTAAAGCAGACTTGGAGATTCTTATCCATGCATTTGTCTCCAGTAGGTTGGACTACTGCAATGGCCTGCTCACAGGTCTGTCCAAACAGGCTGTAAAACAGCTGCAGTACATTCAAAATGCAGCAGCTCGAGTCCTGACTAGAACCAGGAAGTACGACCACATTAGTCCGGTCCTCAGGTCCCTGCACTGGCTTCCTGTGGCTCAGAGAATAGACTTTAAAACAGCTCTGCTTGTGTACAAATCTCTCCATGGCCTCGCACCAAACTATATTAGTGACATGTTAGTACCATATAACCAGCCCGGACTCTGAGGAGCACAGGGACTGGACTCCTGTTAGTGCCCAGAGTCAGAACTAAACATGGGGAGGCTGCTTTTCAGATTCATGCTGCTAAAATCTGGAACAGTCTTCCTGAAGATGTGAGACAGGCCTCCTCTCTGACAATGTTTAAGACAAGGTTGAAAACAGTTCTGTTTAGCTGTGCATACAACTGAGGGATTTTATATTTTTATCTTTTTTTTAATGTACTATGATTATTTATGATTTTAATGCTTTCTTGTTCTGTTCAGCACTTTGAATTGCCTTGTGTATGAATTGTGCTATATAAATAAACTTGCCTTGCCTTGCCTAATGAGGTCATGTTTCTTCCTCTAAGGCTGCACCCCTTCTGTCAGCCACGTCATGCATATACACTCAAATTTAAGCAAACCAACCATATTAAAAGATTATGCAATAAACAAATGTCTCCTGAGCCTCTTCACCAATATATCACAGGGATATGGTTGTTAAACTGTAGAGCAAGTGTTGAGCCACTGCTTTGTCCTGGTTGTACTCCGTGTCCAAATACATTTCATGGTGAACTTTGAGAACTCAGATTCAGCAGCAAAATAAAACAATTCAACAACTGAATATTGATGAATCAATATTTCACTAAGTGGTTTGCTCCATTCCACACACACGTTGTGGTTTTGTGAAACGACTCTTAGAAGCATAGACCACCACAGACTATTACATTAGTTACACAAACCCACAGCTCCATTTGAAAGTTGATGCTGTTTGTGATAGAATCCTAAACACAAAGCTGGCAGGATTTCACTGTAATCACTTTCTGTTCACTTTCAACAAATGATCAGATGTATTCAACCAAATAAATCCTGTTCTTTAATTTAAATGTTGGTGATTACTATTGTTATAATCTGTGTATTTAACTGTGAATATACAGATACATATGTGAATGTCTGGTGAACTTAAAGCACTGATGGTGCACATGAACATAGTCCTGGTTTTTTCAGTCTTCTATAATCGTCACTTTACTCAAAAGTGCCTCTCAGTGCCACTCAGCAGGACATGTCTTTGACACAACATTAGGATCAAGCTGTTACAGTCTGACTGAGTGTGAAGGAGGACTTCGTCCTTGGGGAAGCTTGGGTTAAATCATTACTATAAATATCATTGTTCTAGATGTAAGAGCCCCACTAAATGAGGACATTACGCTGCATGGTCCCAGCACAGCAAAGTCTCTATTGATCACACAGTCAATCACTGCCACACTCAATATATACTCATGTGAAAAACTATCGACCAGATTTACATATGTTGATTGCACTTGAAAATATGATGACAAATAAATCCAACATAAATGTAGTACAGTACAACCATGGCTGAATAGTTAAACAAAGTATGCGTAATTCCATGCACTGGAATTGGATGTATAACTCATAATAATTAGTGGGAGTGAAAATGTTAACCCTCATCATTTCATGCTTTTGTTTCAGTTCTTTTTACTTACTAAAATACACTTGTGTTTCTCTTGTGTAAAAGGTGTCTGGACAATTAGGCTGTGGCAACTTAGAGACAGATGAGAGTGGCGAGGAGGACTGCAGTGTGAAGCTGGCTCAGCAGTTAAGATCAGGAGGAGGACGACAGGGAGGAAGAGGGCGAGGAAGAGGGGCAGTAAGACGGGGAGGAAGAGGGGGAGGAGGAGGAGGATGGGGGAGAGGAGGAGGCACATGGAAGAGGAGTTACTCCAGCTCTGCACTGTGAGCTCCAGTGGGGGAGAGGTGACTCTGACTCAGCAGAAACACTGATCCAAATACAGGTGATCCGACTGCTGTGATGGCACAACACAGGGACATGGGACAGAGACACTGTACACCGAATAGACTCACTCCTGCTTCTCATGTGTCTTCAATTACTTCATCGAACAATGACACTTTCTGACACACTATCAAGCCAACAACTGCAACAATAGAATGTGCATCAAGTTGACTAGTACTCCATGATGGTCAGAGGGTTCTGCATGGTGGAGGTTTGATGGCAGATGTAATCAGAGCAACATTCACAAAGCAACAGTAGCTGTGCACCGGTGCATTCTGTGTACTGCATGTGTACATTGTGCTAATTGCTCTCAGGAGAAAGAAGAGCCACTGTCACACAAGGAAAAGTCATGTATTGACCAGGAATTAGGGCCTGACCCTAACACACACACAGAAAGCAATGGACTTGTCTATTGATGATTAGGTTAAAAAGTAATTTAGAATTTTAAGTAACACAAGGACAGCCAACATGTTTATTTTAATATTCAGAAAAAACTGGTGCCTCTCTTGTCAACTAGTCATGAATATGTAAGTCCAGGGGTCTCATTGAACCTGTGCCTCCCACCTGCAGCTGGGATCTGCCCCCTCTGACACCTCCACAACATCTCAACAACTCAACCACAATAACTATCGTCTTTATTCACACTGCTTATGTGCGCTCTCAGGGACAGCTCCAAAATAATGAGCAGAATAAAAACAGCCTGTAAAAGTGTAAGTCCACATTTGACTAAATAAGGAAAAAAAAAAACATGCAATTTATGAATAAAGTATTTTTTTATGATTTATTTAATCAACACTTCCTCAAACTCTTCACTTCTGCTTCTCTCCAGAGACATCTTTTCAGGAACATATCACAAAAACAAACTCCAATGGACAGGCTCTATAAATGTCACATATGGCACATGCTAATGTGACCCCTTGTCTGGACTCCCCTGTTCTATTCCCAATGAATCCAATTAGTTATTAGAGCTCTGCCAAACTAAATTAAACTGGCTAAAATGGGGGCAGGATGTGAGAAAATGTGTACAGTTTTCTCAATAACTATATATTATTAGGAGGTTGTGGATAGCTCACTGTTTGACCACTCTGCTGCCTCACAGCTCAGAGCAGCTGTATCCACAAAGTTACAAGCCAATTAAAAATGAATGAGTCCCAAACCACGCCAACTTATCTTGATCAAAGCAGGTGTGTGAAACTAAATGGAAGCTGCTCGGAGAAACGAGGCTGTTAATATCCAAGCAGCTTTGGTCAGCTCAGGACTTCATTAAAAAGAGATAAAAAGGATCACAAACAGAGTTCTTACAAAATAGAACCCTGACCAATATAATTCATATTCCTGCGAATAATTGTTCCTGTTATTTCAGAAATATAAAGAATATAAAAAGTAAGAGTTATCTCAAAAGGGTAAAATTGCCCTGGTGTGCCAGTGCAATGTCCAGGTTCTTTGGCAACTTCCAGAGGACGCCACATGTTCACAAAGCCCGAGTCTCCAAGCATCACTTATGAAATATTCATGAAGGTCCGATGGAAAAGCTATGATGTCAGAGATTCCAGTAGCAGTGTCCCGTTTCTGCAGCCATGGTGACACAGCGGTTAAGCATGGTGAGGAGGAAGGATCGAGGGGCGCTTAAACAGTTTGGATCGGGTTAAATTAAAGTGCTTGACTCATGATCTGTAAAATAGTGGTGTCGTTGCTTACGAAAGTCTTGCATTTACATAAAACACTGTGAGTCTGCCCTCTGATAGCTGATTAGTCATCTGAACCATGGAGAAGCTGGAGGGCATTTGTTGAGTGAATTATTTTTTCACAAGTAATGATATTTGCATGTGGGGAAACTGCTGAGTCAAGCCCAAAAAGAAAATGGTCTGTGTCTGCTGTAAGGAACAACGGGTTCCCCTGGAGACATGAATTAAAAATGGAGACACATGGGTATTTTCTAATGGCACATTACAAATTTGGCAAAAAATCAGGAACAATCTGTGATGTAAGAAACCTTATTATTATTGATTCTAACTCAAATCTAAACTGGCTTATTTTGTTGTTTATTTGCTGTTTTACATGTATATAGATTTCAACAAGGGTCTATTTTATTTTTCATAAAAGGTGTCAATATTAAAAAGGTGACAATATAAAAAAATAACATATGTATGAAAAGTTCAAGATAGCTGTCAATCTTTGTCAGGTGCTCATCAGGATCAGCAGTGAAAAAAACCAATGGAAACATAGGAGAAAGCAGGAAACACTATACATCTACAATGTATAATGTATTATTATTATTATCACTCATATTATTGCAGGTCTGTGAGCTGGTAAAACATTTGAACTTAGATTCTCTTTTTAAACATTCCTTCCAAAACAATGCTTCTTTCTGAGTCGTCATGGCACCTGCCCTCCAACTGAAATAGAATTCTAGAACATGAACGCAAACTGTGAATTTGAACCTTCTCAGTCACTGCTCGCTCTCGGCCAAAGTGCGTCTGTCTCCCTGTGTGACTGCATAGACGTACCAGCCTGCTGTCGCGCTGGGAGGAGGAGGAGGAGGCGCTCTTGTGCACTGGGGTGGACGTCTTGAGAGGCGTGACGCTCCGGTCCTCTAAACTGAGGCCGCGGCTGTGGGCCAGGCGCGGCTGAGGAGGCTGATGGGACATGGTTGGCTCTGGGGGGTCGGTCCCTCACCGCTCGGCCCGCATCCTGCAGGGCAGCACGCGTCCTCACTGCTCAGTCCTCATCTGCGACACATACGGCACGGTTTAGGGGAAAACTTCACTGCTATAATGCTATTTTTATTACAAAGATGATAGCAAAACATTAGCATAACTGCCACTTGTTCCTAATGTTTATGCACAATACAATGGCCATTTATTCCATGTTTGATGTTATATTTGTCAGTAATCTTAAATCACATAAAACTGTAACATTACATCTGGGTATAGAATAAACCATCAATAAGAGCAACCATTTAAAGCAGCAGTAAGCGATTTTTGGGTGTTAATATACGTCTTAAATATTGATATATTCCAATAGCCATCACTTATATAGAGTGTTTGTACCTAAACACGGATCTCTCAGTCCTTCCAGTCTTCTCCCACCTATATAATAAAAAAACCTCACATCCTATGCGCTTATCCAATGACGAGAGAGCACGCCTTATAAGGGGTTTCTCCCGTGTGTGCACGCGCACTCTTCAAAACAAACATGGCGGAGAAGGAAAAGCCGCCTCCAGCGCTGCTGCAGACTAAATACCATGGATCTATTAAATACAGGCAAAACGCCAGAAACAGAGGAAGGACAGAAAGTAGGAGCAACATGGTGACCAGCTGCATTCATGTTGGCGACCTCTAGCTCCGTGGATTCCTCTCTCCGACTGAACAGGTGAGCATGTTACTCAGTAGTGGCAGTAGTAGTTGTTTTATTTATACATATAGTTGCCTGAGACTGTAATGCGGGTTTTCACCAAGTTAGCTAGTTAAAAATCCCCAGCTGTTGTAGAAATACGGCCGCATTTTGTGGCAATAACTGCGCATTACCTTGGGTTAGCTTTGAGAAACAACAACAGACAACACAACATCGAAGCCTCAGCCCAGCCTCAGCCATCCATAAACTCCGGTCAATTATTAGTTCCCCACATGTACAACATTAAATGACCATATCACCAGAGTTCCCCCGTGAAGTGGTGTTAGCATTAGCGTTAGCTGTTAGCATTAGCATTAGCTGTTAGCATTAGCTGTCTGTAGTTGTGAATATGATGTGGCTGCTACGAACACTTCTAATCTGTATGAATCGTTTGTTTTTGCCAATAAACATAGTTGCTTGCACTATATATACATATATGTAGGTCTGCATTTCATTCTTCAATGACTAAGTTTTTCAACTTGCACTCTGTATATTAGTTTTATTGTTATAAAAACAATATCTCTTTACCTCAAATCTAACTTCCGTGACCACTACATACATTTTTATTATTATGTATTGAGAATAAGTAAGAAAAGTCTTGCTGACTACTACCAAATAAATTATGAGCATGATATAATATAGACATTGTAATAATTTACATGTCTTCATTGCATTCTTTTCTCTGTATCTTTTCCAGTATGGCCTAAATCAATTGGAATGAGGTCTTCAATGTACAAGAGTTCAAAAGCCTCCATAATGCAAGTTAAATAACTATTTAAAAAAAAACAATGCCATAACGACTAGATACTTTTCTGCTGACCTCTTCTTTCTCTAGTATTGACTGGGAAGACAAGACTTTGCTTCCAGAATTAGAAGAATGGCCATTGTCATCTCCTGAGGAAGACTTTACACCCCACATTTGTCATGTAGGTTGTTGTGAATGCATATATGGGACGCAGTGATTATGATGATAATGATGTTGTGATGTGTGTGTCGTTCATCCCTACAGTTGTGTTGCTGCCCTGAGGTCCAAAATGAATATCGATCATGTTCCAGGAGTCAGTGTTGACAAAACTGTCGCTGAGTTTCTTCAACAATCAAGAGGAGTGAGATAATCACTCGACTCCCAAAACAGCCGATGTAAGTGTCTTTCTCTCACAATGCACAGTCTCTCACAGTCCAAATAAACATGTTCAAGGATCCTGTGGATCAGGGGCCACTCCTGGTGACCAATAAATACTGATGTTGTTGATGATGAATATATCAAAGTCATATTTGAGTAGATAAAACTGATGTCTCTTCTATTGTGTTTCAAAGGAAAATCTCTGCCAGAGGAAGACTCCAGTTCCTTCAACCTGGGCCCCTGAAGCGTGGCTGTGTGTGCGTGTGGCTGTGTGTGCGTGTGGCTGTGTGTGCGTGTGGCTGTGTGTGCGTTTGGCTGTGTGTGCGTGTGGCTGTGTGTGCGTGTGGCTGTGTGTGCGTGTGGCTGTGTGTGCGTGTGGCTGTGTGTGCGTGTGGCTGTGTGTGCTTGTGGCTGTGTGTGCGTGTGGCTGTGTGTGCTTGTGACTGTGTGTGACTGTGTGTGCTTGTGACTGTGTGTGACTGTGTGTGACTGTGTGTGCTTGTGACTGTGTGTGCGTGTGGCTGTGTGTGCGTGTGGCTGTGTGTGCGTGTGGCTGTGTGTGCTTGTGGCTGTGTGTGGCTGTGTGTGCTTGTGACTGTGTGTGCTTGTGACTGTGTGACTGTGTGTGCTTGTGACTGTGTGACTGTGTGTGCTTGTGACTGTGTGACTGTGTGTGCTTGTGACTGTGTGTGCTTGTGACTGTGTGTGCTTGTGGCTGTGTGTGCTTGTGGCTGTGTGTGCTTGTGGCTGTGTGTGCTTGTGGCTGTGTGTGCTTGTGACTGTGTGTGACTGTGTGTGCTTGTGACTGTGTGTGCTTGTGGCTGTGTGTGCTTGTGACTGTGTGTGCTTGTGACTGTGTGTGCTTGTGGCTGTGTGTGCTTGTGGCTGTGTGTGCGTGGCTGCTTATGAATTATTTTGAGGAAATGTGTTCAAACAAGCTACAACATAAAGATTAACATTTTGTTGGATATCTCTGATAGTGTTCGCTGCAGCAGCGATGGATAAGGACCTGGATAATAACAGTGTTATTCATTTGAGCAACACAAACGTTGCCTTACCATCACTTGTAATTATTTGTCTTAGTAGGGACATTGTGTATATTTTTCCGGCTATAACTTCAAATCTTCTTTTACATAATAAAGTTTCTTAGACTCGTTACAGACTGTATTTGTTTTCCTACTATAAAACAAAGCACATTGAAAGAGGTGAATGTATTTATTTTTATTTTGAAATAGTACAACTACAAACATATTTCAGAACTGCAGAGTGGACGTGCACCATGGGGGCCGCTGAGGACGTGCACCATGGGGGCCACTGAGGACGTGCACCATGGGGGCCACTGAGGACGTGCACCATGGGGGCCGCTGAGGAAAGCATGTTTTCAATGTCTGTTGGCACCTTTCACAGACGCACCAGGGAAAGGATCTGGTCATCAGCTTCTCTGGACAGAGGGCGTTCAGTGCTTCCTGAAAGAACCGTTATGACAAATGACTTTATATATTCTGTTACTTGTAGCTTTTCTTTCAAAGTGGTGAGTTTCCTTACAGTGTAATAGTGTAACGTAATTAGTTATGACAGTACTTTTGCGTTTCGGACAAGCTTTACTGGAATTGTTTTTCAGTCCCACATCTCACTGTACAGCTCTGATACACTTTGATTTTGTCTTCATTCTCTGAACAATAAGCACATAATACAGATGTTATTACATCAATAAATGTATCTTTATTTTGTGACATTGAGAAGGCAGCTTCCAGTGAGATGCAGCTTTACTTTCACATAATACATTACTACAGTGTTGTCTATAAAGAACTCCAAATATAAAAATTGTGAGGAAAGCAGTAATGTATTACTTTAAATAACCTTCATGTAAAGCTTTGTTGTTGTAATGTATATGCATTACATTCATCTAATACATATGCACTGTAACAGATGTTACAGTGCATAATGTTGAGACACGTCACACTGCAATCTGCAACATTATGTTTATCACAACAGTTATCAATGTACCAACTATAAAAGCAGTATTATTCTATAAAAGACTGGATCGTTTTTATCTCTTTCTTAGTGATGCTATCCTAGCTAACACCAAGCTGCTTCCAGTGTTATAGCTAGGTTACAACTGAGCTATTCTATGCTAATATTTCACTCCCAGAGTTTGTTGTTAATATACTTACGAGTAGACCTGACGGAGATGAACATGCTGCTGCCATCACCAACTGCTGATGCGCGTTCATGTGGTGTGACGAGGGGATATATATAGCCTCGGGGGCGGGGCTACTAACTCGCTCAGGCAGAAGAAACTGCCGGAAACGACCAAATCGCTTACTGCTGCTGGACCAAAAGTTGGCTACTTGGCCCAAAGCTCCGTTTCACATGTGTGTCAATGCTGAGGGGGGTGGATTTTTTTGGTCCACTCTAGTTTACTTGCTGTGAAGTTTTTAAGTCTGTCGTTCAAATGAATGGAGTTGCGCCGGCTGACGCATGCGCAGATGCGTTTTTTCACAATTTTCTTGTGGGCGGGACCACTCGCGGCCATTTTGGATTGCTCCAGTTGAGCATGCTTTTTGGCCCATTAGTTAGAACGGCGGAGATAGGCGTGACTCTGTCCATTAATATATACAGTCTATGGTCACCACTTAAGGACTTTTTAGTCTAAAACTAATTCGAAAGTAGGATTGTTACTTCCGGTTTCGTCCCGATTCCGTATATGATCTAGTGCCAACCCTAGTGCGTCTTTGTTCATGTCTGCACTTCCGTCCCCGGTGTCGGGTCGCGCCAGCCTTCTCCTGCTTCGGGTAGAAGTGTTCTACTGCGCACGTTACGATCCAGAAAGTATAACAACTAATATGACTGTTGCTTCGGTGCCGCGGTGAGGCCCTCTTTTCCCGCGAGTCCTGCTTTTATAGCCATGCTGTCCTGTCGCTCTGGCGTCTGGCCGCCCTCGTTGCTTGGGTCCGAGTGTATATCTTTGCCAGCTGTGGGTTTGGACATTTTATTTATTTCGGACACCCTTGCCCTGGCGTTCTTGGCCTTTCCTTTAAAAATATATTATTTCTATGAGTGCGTAGCAACCTTGACTTGACACAGCAATGTTGTGCAGCCTTCAGCCACGCATTCACCATGGATCTATAT